TTTTAAATTTTAACACCTAGAGACTTGTTTTACTTCTGTCTTGATTTTAATTAAGTAAAAAGAAAAAAAGAAAGAGGAACGCAATGTAAAGAGAAGTATGTTTCCGTTAGTTATTGCTTGGTTTATTTCTTTTGATAACACATACTACATGACATATTGATAGTAGTGTTAGTAGTAGTAGTAGTAGTAGTAGTAGTAGTAGTAGTAGTAGTAGTAGTAATGGTAGTAGTAATGTTATTATTATTAATACGATATTTTTTACCGGATATATTCCGCAAAAGATTGATAAACAAAAATCTCTTTTAACCATCTTTTTTCTTTCTACAGTAGTTTAAACGATATTATCAAAATGTATGAAATCCTTCAGTGTTTAGGGGATAAGAATGCAACTAACAAAAAAGCTATCTTGTATCTATGTATACATTTAATAACAAGAAATTGAAGAGAAAGAAATGGGGATTTTTTGTAAAAGATTTACACACTACCTTATCTTTTATTTATCTTACTGTCTCATTTTATTTAGTGTCATTAAAATTATTAATACTGTAATGATTTACTGTTGTTAAGGTTACTCTCTTCGTTATTTTGTTTTTGTAACTATGTCTATATGTTAAGTTATGAGAAAAAAAGTTTAACAGTTTGTATAGAAAATCTTTTAAGCAATAAAGAAATTTTTTTCTTGAAAAACAACAACCATATTGAATGATGAGTCTGTGATAAGAAAGTGGAATCTAATTATAACACATATAAATCCTTTCTCCTGATAACAAGTTTATTAATGTGTATACACGGATTTTTCACAGTGCACAACTGTCAAATTGTGAAATCCTAATTAAACGTTTTAGTTAGATTGTTATTATATTACTATCAGTAAAACGATTGAATTAATTTCCATAACGAATAGATATCAAGTAATGAAACATTGAAAAACTATTTTGGTAATGAATTATCATTATACTTACCAGATGACTAGTTTCAAGATGATTTTTATTAACGTTTTAATTGAAAATTCTAGTGCTTCCAAGTTTTCCATGTTGGTCTAGCTTCAATTGAATCATGAATTCAATTATTAAATTACTAAAAGCTCCACAAAATCCCTCTCTGATGAAAAGTTATTATCTATGGACCAAGTAAAAGGAAAATGAAGCAGTTACCCATTTCTAACATCAGATGAGAAACGTGCTATATCGTACAGTGACTTGATAGCTTACTATAGTAATTTTACAATAAGATTCATATTGCCTAGTTTTGATTTCATTTGAGTTATTGTATAATTGCTCCTAAAGAGTTTCAAACTAAAACCAAAATATTGCAATTCTTTCTAGCTGATGAACGAAACTAATAAATATCTACGCTTTGAAATATTTTTGGTAACTATGCATTAAAAAGTATAAAAATACTAAGTTAGGGCTACTTTTATGCTTAGGTAAGTAATATCAGTGGTTGATGTAAATTCCGCCACCATAAAGATCAGTTTTGTAGTGACAAAAACCTACATACTAGTGATGACTATGAAAAAGCGTTTCATAGAATCTTCTCTACATTGAAATATTTGGAATAAATTCATATCAAATGACTTTAGTTTGCGGTAAACTTTTTGTTATGATGAAAAGTGTTTTATTTATAAATCCACCTTAATAGATAAAAAATAACTCTTTTTGGTATCAAACACCTACTAAAGTCAACAACTTCATAAGTATCATTTCGCTGACTATGATGTAAGATTTCACAAATCAAAACATGATGAGAAATATTTACAGCTAAGAATGAGAACCTTGATGATGTTCTGTCCTCTGACTCGTATGATTTAATCATGAAGCTTTCCGGTTCTAGGTCAACAGAACAAACTACTAGTCGATTCCAGAGAAATTCTAATTTTTTTTATTAAAGTCGTCATTTTTTATTAAAATGCATCATGATGATGTTGATAAAGACAATGACAACTTCAAAATAAAACCATTTATCTTAGAAAACATATTGCCTAAAATCAAAATATATATGAATATGATAAAAAACGAAATGGAATCCTTTCCAAACCAATTATCATTTAATTTACTTATCTCATACATAAATCTCATAAATAGATGTAACATAGAATCTTCTCTTACAATAAACAAACTACACTTTTTCCTGTATACTTATTTTATCTTAATAAAATAAGAAATCTTTGCAATCAGCTGACAGATAATTAAAGTGCATATATTATGCTAAAGATTGTACCATATGATTTCGAATAGTAATATTACTTAACATCTACTTATAATTGAAGTAATTAACATCAAAAGAGAAATTATAAAATGAGTATTCGTCTTTCAACAAATAAATTAGACATTAACACCATTGGATGCCGGTTAAGCATTCTAGAGATTAGGCATGCACGCGCGAGACCGAAGGTCCTAGGTTCAAGTCCACTGGGAGGATTCGTTGATGTACATTGTTGAGAAGTCGCGTACAAGATCGAGACGGTCGTCAAGTGCCTCCTGACTTTCGATGGTGGTTTAGCTTAGATCAGCTCACGATTTCAACTGAGAAAACAACATATTGCTCTAAATTTTGGGTTTTTAGAGACATTTTAAGTACATTATACTTAGAAAGAAATCTTAAACGTTTGTATACACCTACACACATCGAAAACTCTGAAACATTGCTCATTTCATTAATGTAGAATATGCATCAATTCAATGGAAAATATCTGCAGCTTCAGTTTTTACAAAATGTATAGCTTTTATAACTTTTTCAGTACTATTTCATATGAAGAGAAAATATAAAGTCTATCTAATTACTATATTTTTCATAGAGGTACAAGAGTTTTAAGAAATTAAAGTCAAACTAAGTATATTTTATTAAAATCTACTTCTGAAAACAATTATGGAATAAAGGATACAAACAAGTTGGTTGTGGGTTCATCATAAGTGATACCCTTTTATCTACCAAGAATTAATAATTAAATCTATTTAGTTCGAAGATCTATATTCTAGAAAAAAACCATACATCAGAGATCATATACATTTCATTCAGAATTTTGAAATGTACTGGAAATATTCAACATCACATTATGTTACATATCAAATGGTGTTGGAAAAATCCCAATTCAAATTTCTGTTCATTTTCTGGATACAAAAAGAGAACAAGATGATATGTCAATATATTATTATAAACTTTATTCAATATTATACTTTTGGTACAATAAAGAATTCTCAGCAAAACGTATTTCAACAAGTTTCCATTCCTTATTTCTTGATCGATCCTGACGACAAATATTAGGTGATCACCAATTAGATGTTAGCAGTTTAACAATCGACATCCGAATAATGTACATGTATATTGTCAGCGTCCACGATGTCTCTGATTGTGCTATTGTCTAACTTGTACAGTGAAATTTGGTAAACTTTTCACAAACGCACCTGAATAGGTTATGTAATTAATTGACATAATGACTTGTTGAAACAAACAAAATTCAGATAATTTTTTGAAATATTTAAATAGCAGGGACAGGTAGCCAAGATATTCAATCAGGCCACCTTAATTGTGAATAAGAAACAATGGTGTTTGTTGCCCAAAAATCAACCAAACTTAAGCAAATGTCGACTGAATCTATTTTATTATTTATAATGTTAACGATTGTTCTTCAACTAAATAATACCGACAGATGACCGATATTTTCCTAAATTTATAAAGATTCTTTCATCTTTTCAAATCAATTCTTATTTCATACAAAGTTGAGCTTTTTTGGTTTGGTAACATACCTCTTATAACTTATTATTTACATTAAAATTTGTTTCATTCAAGTAAAATTAAGAATGCTGGCTCAGTGGTCTAAAGATTAAGCATTCGCTTTCGAAGCGGGATTGTGGATGATCACTAGTGAGGAGTCCCACAATAGGAAGAAATGGGCATCCAATGTTTCCAGGTTTTTCATGTTGGTCCATCTCCAATTGACTTATGATCTCAACTATTAAAATTACTAATCATATCCACAAAAAACCCCCCTTCTTGTATTAACATTATTACATATTGTATTATGGAACATTTAAATCAGTTTAATTCTGATATGAACTGAACAACGTTTCTCATTTTAAATAAAAGAAGAGGAAAAAAACATTGAAATTTCAGTATCATAAACAGTTCAACTTCCTTTCAACTGAAAAAAGATGAATGAGAAAATGAAATTAACATAATTATTTCTTTACATATAAAAATACAATAAAAGTTTATTGTTCATAACTTTGACAGAAACTAATTGAATGGCTGAGTTGGAGTTATATTTTTTTCTTTTTATATTATTATTATTATTATTATTATTATCAATTTTTCTAATTAAGAACACCTTTATCTTGTATGACATTATCTGTTTTGAAGAAAAATAAGAGACAAGTTAAGGAGAGAAAGAAAGAAAGAAAGAAAGCAAAAGAGGGTGAAGCATTTCAATCTTGTAATTACTGCCTTCAGTTTCTTTTTTTTCTTTCTCTCTCTCTTTTTAATCGTTTCTTATAGAAAATAATTTATTCTTTCACACCGATCACAAGACAGTATATCCACCCACCAACTGTAAACTTTTCACACAATCCTGTCATATATTCTTTTCATATGATATTTAACAACAACAAAAAAGAAATATGATTGTGATCTTACTACTTCTTTTTTCAGTATATAAGATATATATTATGATTGATTGCTTGATCAAATTCGATTAGTTAATGATCAGTATAAAATCTTATGGGTTATTTGTTTACTAAAGAATACAACATAATAAGAAAAAAACAACAGATGAATGGATAAACAGATCGGATAATCAGAAGCCAGTTGGTTAATATAATATATATCTACTTTCATTTATACTCTCTTGAGGGACCTTATTCTGTCATTTTAAAAATCGACATCATATATCAATTTAGGTTGTAACTAATTTCCGTATTGACTTATAATTGAATGTATCTAAGATCAATAAAATTTATCTATCAAATTATTTCATCATTTCTTTTTTCTTATATTTTAGAATTATGGTTTCCAGTTCTTACTTTACACCATCACCGATAGTTCGAAGTAAAAGTTCAATGAATATTTTGACATCATCAAATAAAAACAATGAGAAATCTCGTGGTTTAACACAAATTTGGCCTTGTAATGTTCAATTGTCTAGATATCAATCATTAGAACATCCTAGTAATTATTATAATTATGCAAGGTCAGTATTTATTGTTAATGTAGAAACCAATTGAAATAGACCAGTTTTATAAATTCAGTTTGATATTGATATTATTTGTACAATGAATCGTTCATCCCCAAATGTCCTGATACGGTCGAGGGTAGAAGGAATTAGCTCTTTCTCTCGAAACGCTCTCATGTGGCCACGAGTATACAGACATTGTCAAGGATGCCCTACTCACTGCCTTTTAGCAACGGAAGTGTTGTTTACGAAATTGAGAGGATGAAAAGTGAATGTCCGACACTCTAACCGGATTGATGCATATGGAGGATCCACCTACGGAAGTTGAGAAACCCTGATTCCGATCCAATCGTGCACATTGGCTACAGGATCCTGAGAGGACAAATGGCGTATGGAAAAATTATTAGTCATCGGATACCATGGGACCGAATCTCCTTACGTTGTTCCACTGTCTTTTGTATCAGACCTTTTGGTCAAAGGCCTCGGGTGTGGCCTACTACAAAAACCACTTGTTTCGGTCTGGGCATCAGGGTAGTATCACAGCCCGCACACAAATCAAGTGTATATGTACCGGAACCCCTTTGTACCAATATTTATGTGTTCAAATAAATAAATCGTTTGCTAACCTATCAGGAAAATTCCAAAGTAAATTAGTTTCACTTTGAGGATTTATAGAATGAAACATAAAAATTAAGATACCGGACACTGAAATAGATTGTATTTCAATTAATATATTTTAACAATTGGATTCACGAGTCTATCTAAGCTAGACCACCACTGAAAACCTGAGAGCACTGGTTGGCCATTTCGTCTTGGTATGCGACTCCTCAGTATTGTGTATCTACGATCATGTAGTGGTTATAACAGATAATTAACGTTTTTGTGCTAAACAACAAAAGTTTGTAGGATGTCCAAATATAACGAACTATGCAATGATTACCCAGTTAATACCTTCCTACATTTATGTTCATCAGATAGATTACTTTAAAAGAAACAATGTATACTGACATCAATCTATGAATCAACTATAAAACAACATATTACCTCACCCCGTTCTCTAATGAATAAAACAATTTCTAACTTTCAAGGGAATCATTTATTTTCCCATATCACAATAAAGTTATTAAACATTATATCATATATTTCTCCCGTTACGCTTAACAGCATGTGAATAACTTTAAAACAATTTGATAACAGTAATGCGTTTTTTCATTCCGTAATTTCGAAAATTGATCTTTGACTTGTCATTCAACTAATCTAATTTGGATTTTACATATTTTCCAGCTTAAAAAAATAGTCCCAAATATAACATCATTACTTATAATAAGCCTTTTAGTGGCTTTCGTGTATCTGACCCTAGTTCGATTGTGAGAATGACTGTCATCAACTTGTCGAAATATACATATCGTCAATCATCGCATATAATTGTCGACTTAACTCGTGTTAATGAATAACGGAATTAAATAAGTCAGATACAACAACGAAGTTTTAATAAGTATATTTCATAGAACTGTTGATCTGGACAGACAACGGGAAGATAGAACAAAGGAAGCATAGAGGATAGAATGAAGCGAAACAAAATGATGCTCAGTGGAGAAGACTTGTGAGCCAACACAATTTAACCAAGAGTGAATCAATATTTATAGTCAAACGAACACAAGTTACAGACATGTGAATGAGTAAGATAAGAAATGCGCACACATACTCTTATATAAAAGTAGTCAAGGTTGATAAGCGAATAATTAACAAGGTGAAAATGTGACTAAAGAAAAATAAATAAATTGGTTTGTCCAGAAACTAGAATAACCTGTGCGGGCTTAACATAAGGCCAGCCATCACAGCGTATAATAACTCAATTCTTAACTAAACAAGATAAACCATCGTGACAAAACACAAGCGACTTCATTTCATAGTGGATAATCATTATCAATTCACACTAATTGTTATTAGATTTGCAATAAATATCACACATTTATCTATTTCATTAGTTGAGATCATCAGTCAACAGAAGCTAGACCACCATGGAAAACCTGGAAACACTGGATAGTAGTAACTCACTGAATTCGATAGTGGATTTGTCACTCAAATTCGTGGATTAATTGAAGTTAAGCATTAACACCATAGGATGCGAGCTCAGTAGTCTAGAGGTTTAGATCCTGGGTTCGAATCTCGTGAGATGAGATCGTGGATACACACTGCTGAGGAGTCTCTCGATAGGACAAAACGGTCGTCCAATTCTTCTAGGTTTTCCATGGTGGTCTATCTTCAATTGATTTATGATCTCAACTAATCTAACCACTATAATATCCACAAAAACCCTTTCTGATACATTTATTTATGTAAATTATATCTATCATTTCTAGTAATTCTATACTTAAAATATTTGTTTGTTACTACTACTTATATTAGTAATTTAAAATAAGTAGACTAAATTGAATCTAATTTTACTTTTAAAAATTTTAATCTAATTTTTCCAATTCAGTTTTATCATTACATCCTTTCTTTTTTCTACTGACTGATAACACCATGAAAAATTCCATTAAAAAAGTTTAACGTTTTTTTTTGAGAATAATTTTCTACAGTTTTCTGTCCATCTACCATATGACAATTAAAAAAACAAAAAAAACTGATGAACATAAATAAGTTAACTTCATAGTGACATAGTATTCACTTTATTCTATTCAACTTGTCTTTCATTCAATGTATACATGTCATATTGTGAAAAAAAGGAAGATGACCATGAGTAGAAGTAGATTTGCTTTCGTTTACACACATATATAAGCATTCATAAATAATAGAAAATTGTATATCCTATAATAGAAATTATCATTAAAAAAGTGTATAGATATTAGTTTAGAAATTTTCTTATATTGTTTATATTGTGTTTGATGGTAATAATACAGAGAAATAAAAATGAAACAAGTATGTTTTGTTTTGAGTTAAACCTTATCATGAACAGTAGAGAAATAAATTTAAAAAAGTCATGGAGGGTTCATACATGTTGAAAGGAAATTTTGTTCTGGGTTAGCGACTAGTTTATGGATATCTTGCTTATTATGTAGCTTCTAACATATGATACTTTTATTCTTAATGAGTTTGTAAGAAAAAAATGTTGATGAACTAAAGATCTCATATATACATATGTCTTCAATTATTATTGATGTGAAATAATTAGATCTGAAGTGTTGAAACATACATATCAAAAATGATAAGCTTAAATTTATGAAGAAACAAAGAATTATCAGGAGGGGTTTTGTGGATATAGTTGAGATCATGAGTCATTTGAAGATAGACCATCATTGGAAAACCTGGAAGCACTGGACAGCTGTTTCGTCCTATCGTAGTACTCCTCACCAGTGTGCATCTACGACCCTGCCTCAGTAATTAATTAGTTGAATGATAATAATTATATACTACTGAAATAATTTTTAGAATTAGTCTATATGTGCTTAATAAGAAATTTTACGTAATAGTATATAAGTTTACTTCTTCAGCCAGGAGGCCACAAATTGAATAATCTTAGAACCTTAAGTTCAATTCATCTGTTACATAAGATAGATTTCTTTCATATTAACTCATTTATTATCAAATATTTGAAGAATTTCTTAAGGAAATTTTGAATTAAGACTTTGTACTTGTATTTTTAGTTTGAGAAATTTATACGTTTAATTATGAAGGAACAGAGGTTGTATCTCACGTGCATTTATGTCACCTAGTACAAAAATTGGTAATTCTACTGATTAATTAACTAGCAACTCATGAATCTTTTTCCACAAACGAGAATATATTTAAGCAACAGTTTTCTTGAGGATCTATCATTATTATCAACGTTCAACATTTACAATCATTTGAATTCAAATACATATCACTAGATATAGAAATCAGTTACCTCAGTAATAGAATTTGAATTGATAACAATTAAATTCATGAGTTTCTGAAGGCCGGAGAAAATCCCATTGATTATCATATTAGCTTCGAATAGCTTGTTTCCCCTATGCAATGTTTTAAAATTAAAATCATCTAGATAATGTACTAATAATGATCATGACAAATATATCAAGGTTATTAGTCATAGCAAGCACTGTAGCGGTATTGTTCTCTGTGACGATCAAAATTTATTGTTGAATATCAACTTCACTGTGTAACAGACAGGACTGAGCTAGGTGATTCATTACTTCAGAGTAATTTGCCAGTTGTTTTAACCATTAATAATTAAATTATATAAGCGGTTTATGCTTTATACTTTTGAAAAGATTTGGTCATGTTTAAAACCTGACATTCATCGAAGACCATCTAACCAAAGATAGTAAGATGAAATTACATCCTACCATTAGTATCCAATTATTTCAACCGAGGATCGAGTTAATGACATACAATTTTGTGGTGAGCGCTTAACTACAAGACCACTGAGCCGGTATACAAAAGTTCGTATGTTTAACTTCAATCAATCCCTGAAAGAAATAAACATCATGTGCTCCTTAGTGGCACTTTTGCGAATCAATTACACTTATTCTCTGAGAAACTGGGACTATTTGAATTTAAAAGGGTTAAATGTCAGTCATTTGCACACCAATGGGATTAGATGGTTGAGAAATATTGAGATTCGATTGAAACCAAACATGTAAACCACTGAATACTGTCTCATCTGTCTAAAGATTAATCTTTCACCGATAAACCTGAAGGTCTCGGATTCGATCTTTGATTAAGTCGGGAATAAATGTAACAGAGAAATCCCATACTGGAACGAAACAAGTTCAGTGCTTCCAGCTTTAGATGGTTGTGTAACTAAGATCAGTCCGTGATGTCAACTGTTGTGATATAGTTTTTGAAGTTAAATATTAATAATGTATGATCTCTACTATTCAGCTAGCCAATCCACATGTATCTAGCATATATATACATAATGGGGTTTACTCTCAACTAATTTAATGGAAGGTTATATAATTAGTAACAACATTTGATGCCATAAATTACATGGTAGAAAGATCACTTTTAAAACCGATAACGTGAATGGATTATTACAGCTTATGGACATTCAGCAAATAATATTTTGGTAATCTTACTAGCAAACTGATGTGAGTGAATGAGACATTGAGAACCAAGGGTAACTAACCAGGTAAGTGTTACATATAGGTTAAACTGACGATCAACACAAATCACCTTGTGCAATACTTTTTCACTAAATACTTTTTCACTTTTTCACCTTAATTAAACATCTGCCTAATTTCCTCAATTATATTTACATCATATTTGAAGATAAAATATTTTGCCTGTGAAACTATTAAAGTTTATAATGGGCATTTTTTCTATTGCCTTTCAGAAAATGCATCTATCCACGTCATAGTGAAACAATGTGGAATTTAGTTAATAAAGCTGCTTTGCAAAATGCTGCTCATGAACGAGCTGAAGCAGAAGAATTACGACTACAATCATGGCAAAAGATTCAACAAGTTAATAGACAAACTAAAAATAGACAAGCTGAAGCAACAAATAAACTACGTGAGATTATTTCTTCTTATAATGTTTGCTTAATTTATTATACAATCTTTAATTAATTCAAACTTAAGTTTAACATTATTTGAAATTTGACTGTTTCCCTTATTTGTTATCATGAACTGCAGTAAGATAAAGTGTGAAGAGCACTAAGTCATATTCTATAATCAAACTTAGAATATTCATATATTTTCACAAGTTTATTTCGGATGAAATTCAGTAATTAAGAATAACTATACGGAATTGAATCACAATAGTACAAGATTGTGTTTCATATTTATCTGTGGATATTCGTTTAAGTTTTATAGTCACCATTTTGTGTAATGTTATCACTTTACAACTGCCATGGTCACAATTGGTAATAAAACAATTCTCATCCATAAAAAGGGATTATTCATTGAAGCTTAAATATTATTATATACAGTTCCTGTTCGAAGAGTTACAAGTAGACTGTTCAATTCTTTGTTCTTTATGAGTCACAAGCAATATCTTAAAAATTCAATACTGACTTTAATTATCGAGATCAGAGTAACCAGTGATAAATTTAAATCTATTCACAATAATTCAAAATGAATATACCGAATTGATTTAAACATTCCATAGAATATATATTGTATGCAACTTGTAATGCACTACGTTGAGTTATCAAATGAATATGATTATTATCATTAACATGATAGAAAAGTACAACATTTGAAACAGTTAGTAAATTACAAGATATAATTTCAAAGTGAATGATATTCCCTTGTATCCATCATAAATGTGCATAAGACATGACAGTCTAATTGAAATAAATGAGAACAAATATTTAATTAGTTCAATAACTCCTTAAAACTTTGCACGCGAGACCTATGGGTCCTAGTTTTGAATCTCACGGAAAGGGATCGTGGATGTTCACTGGTTAGGAGTCCCACACTAGGACAAAACGACTGTCCAATGCTTCCAGGTTTTCTATGATGGTCTACCTTCAATTGACTCATGAACTCAACTATTAGAATAAAATTCTATTAGAAGTTCCAAATAAAACTACAAATAACTCTCTCCAGTTTATATTTTAAAGTGATCTTTTAAAATAACGAATTTCAATAGATGTTGTTTTCAAAAATCTTACATTACTGGATAGTCATTTCATTCAACTTTATTTAGTAAAGTGTGTCAACGATGCGAATAACATAAAATCAAGAATTTTCAGGGTTTGAGATGAATGTGATTTAGAATTTTTCAATTTCAATCAACTTGTAATATGATGTGATGTTCATTCATCTTATCAGTGAGTAACTGACTCAATTAAGGTTCAATTGATTCCACAAGTTTTAGGAATACATTGGTCAAAAGTACGTTGAGAAGTCTGTACAGTGGTTCTTTGTGTTTCAGTGATTTATTATGTAGTTGATGTTTACCTGTAACAAAAACAGACTAATTATTACATCGATATATGATATAAATGTTCAACTTTATTTGTTGTTACGCAATTACACGACATTTAAACAGTAATTCTACTGTTGATTATAATTTAATCAGCAAAATAATTTTTTTTCAGGAGAAAGAGTAGAAGAAATAAATCATTGGAAAAATGAACTGAAGACGGAAATTCATTTAAATGAAGAAGAACAAGAGAGATTAAAAGTAAGCAATTGTTAATTTAAAGTGTAAGATAAAAAGAATGATTAGTGTATCTTTTAATATGTTGGTTCGGCTAAGGTGTTTTAGTATATGGAATTAAATTTCATTCCAAACTTACTTTATCTGATAAGCGATTAATTATTAGGGAGTCGTTGATAGATATTCATCTTATTCCTAGAACACTACGTAATGTACTATTACAACCCTAAATCTAATGCAACTCTATGCTTTCATATCTTGCAATCAATCCAATATGTTAAAGCCACTAATTTATATTTAGTCGTAACAGTTGTTCACTTACCTTTAACTAAATTTGTATTTAATATAAATTCTGTTTGGCATGAGAACCATTAAAGCTAGAAAGTATTCGTAAATTGTTTTATCCTATCGTTGAGAACTTTTTAAAAGTGAACACTAAAGATTAAACGTTAAATACCCAGGTTTCATAGAAAATATTATACCTTTAGACCAATAGATCAAAATCCATTAGTTCAAATAACACTTAGCTCAAACCTGAAAATATTACATTATAAGTTCTTATAGGTTGAGATTTCTACGGTCAACTTAACACAAATATAAAGTAATGTTAATCTCTGCAGTATTATATAACAAATCACTATATCACAGATTGAAATCATGAGTCAATTGAAACTAGACCACCATGGAAAACCTGGAATCACTGGACGGCCGTTTCGTCCTTGTATGGGACTCCTCAGCAGTGCACATCCACGATCCCGCACCCCGCGAGATTCGAACCCAGGACCTATCAGTCTCGCGCCGTTACTAGTGGAGTTCAACCATGTCTGCTGTGAGATATCAACTCACTAAAGACAATAGTATATGGTAGCGCAACTTCGTGGATTGGTTGAAGTTAGACATTAACACCATTGAATGCCGGCTCAGTGGTCTAGTTGGTTAAGCGATTGGCGCGACGCTGCTAGGTCCTGGGCTCGAATTTCGCGGGCTGCGGGATCGTGGGTGCGCTTTGCTGAGGAGTCCTATACTAGGACGAAATGGCCGTCCGGTGCTTCCAAGTTTTCCATGGTGGTCTAGCTTCAACTGACTCATGATTTCAATCTGTGAAATTTCTGAAATCTCCATAAATCCCTTCTGATAAAAATCACTATATGTCATTATTAGAGTAAATTTTAAAGTGTCAACTATTATTGGCATACAGTGATTTTGAGTTTCTAGATTTGATTTATTTACTAGTCAAGTGAAAGATTTCACTATAAAACAAAATAGCTACTTTTCTTTTTGAAAACTTCTTTTAATTAATGTATATCTAAGTGAAAATCTCATTCATAAAAATAGTTTCTATTCATTGAATAGAAGTTAGGTGATATGTTTATTTTCTCAGAGATACAACATATTAAACATGAACTATAACAATTGATTTATTCTCACTTTCATACTTTTTTTCTTTTTCTAATCTTCCTGTTGTCTTCTTTGTTTATTAAACATTTCCTTGATGATGTATTAAATAACAAATAAATTTTCTTATACCCTTAGGCTTTTGTGACCTTATGATTATTACACATCAAGTGTTTTATTATTTTAAATATAAAAAAACAGCGACAACAACAAATGAGTTAATAATCCTATTCATTGTTAACTCCCTCATCATCTTTATTGTTGAAATATATCCCTAAGTCAATAGAAAAATTAGTGTATTTCTATTTTCCCCTTCCTCTGTTAACGAACTATTATCGATGTTTCATTCATTTCGTTTCTATTTCCTGTAGTTCTATGTTATTTCCTCTTTAGTCTTTATGACACATTTATATTCTATTGTTATCAGTTTTTATAGTTACATTGTTGCTTTGACTTGAATAAAATAAGGGTTATGTTTTTTTTAAGAAAAGAGAATTAAGCTACACTTTATTTCATTTTAAACTGATTTATTTACAGAAATAAAAGATCTAACTAGACAGACAAAACAATTTTATATGAATAAATCATTCTTTGTTTTGGTTTCTATAAGTTAATAGTTAAATAATATCAGGAATAAGGTTTTGTGAAGATTTTAGTAATTTAATAGTTGAATTCATGAGTCATTTGAAGCTAGACCACCATGGAATAGCTGGAAGCATTCGACGGATTGGATGCCATTTAAGTGGTCTAGAGGTTAAGTGTTCACGTGCAAGACTGATAGGTGCTGGGTTGGAATCTCACGAAGCGAGATCGTGGATGCACACTGCTGAAGAGTCCCATACTAGGACAAAAAAGTCATTTAGTGCTTCCACGTTTTCCATGATGGTCTACTTCTAATTGACTCATGACTATAAAATTACTAAAATCTCCACTAAACTCCTCATAATAATTATCATCCTATACCCACTAGTGACTGGTTTCAATAGGTATTTCCTGGAGCTCTAGTGAGAAGCAGTGACCAGTAAAGTTCAACCGGGTCTGTTGTGAGGTAGTAACTGACTAAAGACAATGATGGACGGTGGCTCAATTTCGTGGATTGGTTAAATTTAGACATTAACACGGTTAGATTCCGGCTGAGTGATCGAGTAAGAATCTCGCGGAGCGGGATCGTGGATGCTCATTGTTGAAGAGTCCCTCATTAGAACTAAATTGGTCGTCCAATGCTTCCAGGTTTTCCATGGAGATCTAGCTTCAATTGGTTCATGAATTCAACTATAAATTTAATCAAATAATACTTTTTATTAAAACAATGAAATATTCTAATACAATCTGTTTCATCATTTTCAACATTAGTTTTATACAAATGATAAAATAGAATAAAATTGAGGAGTAAATAATAAATTGAATCATATTTCAATCCTTTATGATAAAACTCTAAATTAACATTTAATATACTAAATATTTTTGCAAATGAACTTGAATTTGTAATACGGTAAAATGAGATAATGAGAAAATAATAGACCAACTATAGAAATAATATAATAATGTAAGCTGTGACTAAAAACGATTGAATAAAACCGAACTCTAATTTAATAAAAAAGGAAAGTGACATAATATTGTTTGTTCAGAGCATAATAAATAATATCAATACTTTAGGTCAAAAAATCTTATTACATACTGGCTATGTTTTCTACTTAGTAGTATAGCCACCCATGTGCCATTGAGTTTGTTCTCATTTCATTCGGTTAAGCCCTTTTGTTAACCTATTTAGCGGACAGAGTCATCCGTACTATAACAACTTAATGTACCTTTATCAATAGTGCTTGTATGGAATATGTATGGTTGAACATTGCTTACCGCCTATGCATATATTCATTCTGCTAGCTTTATTATTAGCTGTTTAAATGATTCGATGATTCATCCATTTCCTTATATATATGCATGTATACATGTACATTTAAACCCACATACTAATCTACTCTTTCGATTCGCTGACTCACTCTCAACTACCTCTTTGTTTTGTGGTCTGAGTTATCTGCTAATAAAGCTGTAGTCGCTGCTTCTCTTCGCCTTCTGCTTTCAAACACCGTTGAGAAGCACAGCCACTACAATACTTTCTAGTGTATCATAGATTTCAAATAAGAATTGATTGTTAGCTGAAAAATAAAATAACTTGATAAATTAGTACTGTTTACTTGTTTGATTATCTTTCAGAATTTTCGGTATTTCACTTCTGATAATGATAATAATAATTATTGCAAGTTATGTATGATGGTTGGTAGGTATAGACAATATGCTATTCAATTTAATTTCAGTAATAAAAAGTGAAATCCAAGTTTGTTTTTTGATTTTTTATATGACACATAATATCTGATCTAAATACTACTTTAAGATTAATATTTCTCTGACCTAGTGTCATTTTTCCTCATTTTCCCTAATATCAGATGGGTTTTGCCGATATTATAGTAATTTCAATGGTTAAGATCATGAGTCAGTTGAAGCTAGACCACGATGGAAAACCTGGAAGCACTGTGCGGCCGTTTCGTCCAATTGTGGGACTCCTCAGCAGTGCATATTCACGACCTCGCCCCATGCGAGATTCGAATATTACCTTAAGTAATATTATCTTGAACTTGTACGGAAAATTAATTCTTATTGCTTCACTATACAACCCCTTATTGAGGGACGTGTAGATATGACAGATGGCATTGAACATAATTTTGTACTTAAATATGACATAGGAGAATTATAATTTTTATTAACTATAGGTCACTTTATAATGTTAAAGTAGTGTTATATTATATATCAAATATAATACTCGACTTTTTATGAAAAATCATGGTCTTATCTTCAAAGAAATGTGTTTAATGCCATAGACCAAAGATATGTCCGACTAGCACAAAACTACTGTTAAATGTTGTTGAATCAATGAATAGAATAACAAACTAATTAGTGTTCATAAGAGATTAAATAAATTAGGAATTCAGCCTACCCCTTATGAAATGCTTTGTATAAAATATGGAAGTTTTGTTTCTTAATCTTGCTTTGAGTCTGAATAATAAAGTGAGACTATTTCACTAAGAGCAACTGAAATATTTTCCATGTCTTACAGTAAGTCTTTCACCATATGAAGTACATATTAAACTAGATAACATTAGAAAATCTACATTAAAGCATTTTACATAAGATCTTATCATGAATCATGCAGGAAATATCAACTATTCATAACTAAATAACATTGTAAAGTTAATACAGAGACAAAATTACTCAAGAAGAAGTATTAGCACTAGTATCAATTACTGCTGTAACTATTAACGACAACACTAAATACCATATTTACGGTAATAAGCTTTGTTATTCAGTAACTCCGATTTTGACTGTCATCAATACATTGAATCTGCTTCATTAAACGAATTGTATGGGATAAGATAGGAATGTTTCCTATATGACAAATGACACATCAATCAATAAGGAGCTATTTATCCAAATTTTACCTTTGTTTTCAATCACCGACAGGGTATAGATATAGTATATCGAAAACATACATTATGAATAATATAAAACTGAGCTCTTAAGACAAGTTGAATTTACTCATGAAAAAAATATATGTCTGAGGTTGTGAAGATTGAGATTTTGATTGAAATAATAAACTGATTAATGTTAGACCACCATTGAAAACCTGGGAGCACTGGACGGTCGTCTTGTCTTAGTATGGGACTCCCTAGCAGTGCGCACACACGACCCCCCCCCCAGGATCTTGGATATCGTGTGCGAACGCTAACCTCTAGACCACTCCGCCGGCATCCAGCGGTGTTAATGTCTAGTACTTCTACGTTTTCAATGGTGGTCCAACACTGACTGACTCAAGATCTCAATCAAAAAAATAATAATATATTTATATCATTAACGCGGAATCTAAATTTCCTACAGCCTGTTGATCATTGCATAATTCTTTCAATCTTTTAAGCCTGTTTTTAATTAACGCTATAGATTATGACCACAATTTTTTTCACGGACTCTATAATAATTATGATAATAATAATTCAACATTGCAAACCATCAGCAGAAATACTGGTATTACGTCTACTACCTGTTAAAACTTTGTAGTAATAAGTACTTTGTAGAGAGAAAGAAAGGAAATGGAACATGCTAAATTTAGCTTTCAAAAAATATCACCAACACATTGTGAAAGATAAGAAATCTTGAATTCATAAAAGATATCCATGGACAGGAAATGTCCTTCAAAAGGATTTATCAATGACTTTATTATATTTTTTAAACAATATCGTTTTCCATCAATTTATTCTTCTTAGCCCTTCCTGTTTTAACACTTTTAATAATCTAATAAAATTAAATAGTACTGCGTCCTTTAATTATTTAGTCTAATTCATATCATACATCAGTAAAGATTATTCTGAAGATTTGTAAGGTTAAAAATGGATAAGGAAAGGTTGCAATTGACTAAGTAATAAGGCCAACATATATACTAGTATGTATATAAATAATAAAAGACTCAACATTCTCTAAGCAACATTTTTTGTGACTGTTAATAAAACAACTCAAATCAATAACTAGCATTTTTTGGGGTGTTTAATAGATTACCAGAAACTAATTAACAAGCTATTTATACAAATAGAAAATGGAGACTCATCAGTGAAGTATATAAGTCATTAGTTTAACTCAAGTTACTGATATTTTCGCAGTAAAATTTTTGTATCTCACTTTTCTACTGTTATTCGATTGCTCAAATAACATAGCTTATCAACCATCGCGAATTGGTTGAACTTAGAAAAACGAAATGCTGAATTTCAAATCTCTAGTCACCACGGTGTCTGGAAACATTGAGTTAGATTCTCAACTGGGCTGCGAGTATCCACTGCTGATAGAACAAAACATTTATCAATTGCGTCCTAGCTGTTATCAGTTAAGAACCTTGAGAAAAGCTTAAGATGTTTCTTGTACTAATTACTGGCCCTAGGTTTTCATCTCAAAAGAAAGTTGACTGATTTTAAGATGAAAAAATATTAATTTAAAATCAAAGCATGTAGAAGATATCTTGCATAAGCGATAATAATAATAATAAGGTATAAGTTCATTTCTTAATGAGGTTTCCTGTAAATAAAAGTTTCTTAAACACCAAAAACTTCTAACATGAAATGATCTATATAACGGTTAAATAATATTATCAATTTTTAAAATATTTCCATACAACGGACTCCTCTGAGGCACAACATTTACCACTGAAGATAACCACTATTATTAGTTTAAGTACACTGACAGTTTGTTAAAAGCTATAATACTTAATCCAAACTCTATTCAAGTACTTGTTTGAAAAGGGAGTACAATTTACTTTCGTCCATAAACAAATATTAACGAACACAGATACCATTCAGTAATATCATTATTCGTTGTACTTGAAAACTTCATGAAATAAACAAGAAACAACTAGTTCGCTCTTACAAACTTGTAATGTCAACATATATAATAACACATTTCAGAACCGATTATTGATATAAAAATGTTTGAAAATTCACAAATTAAATGGATATAAAGTTTAAAGATCCCATTACTAATCTGTAATGTAATAAGTATGTTTAATATACAATTTCCGTTGAAGAGAACCTCTGATTGAATGTAGAAATCAGGAAGCAACTAAATTATCTTTATATATTAACCAACCTAAACTATACAATGTATTTCAAAGGTTCATTGGTTTATTTACTGCCTTAGGGCAGTAAAATATAACCATTCTTATGACCTAACAGTCTCTGCCTCAATCAATTAATCAAATGAATCATGATTTCATTTAACACAGTATAATAACAATGATAGACAAGGAATGGACACTCAAATAAATATCTAAGTATTCTTAATATTTAGAATTTCATTTAAGGTTAGGCTGATTGATTCAGGCATGTATTATAAACATCATATCACAGTTAGTTGATTATCGAGTAGAATTATTCAACAAGTTATAGTCTACAGATATTTCACTTCAAGTACCTATTGATAATATTAATAATTCAGGCAGTTCAAAAAAGAACACATATTCTATTAGACAGAGAAAAGTAAACTCTCTTAGTTTAAGGAATAAAAAAACTTTACTCTTTGCTAAACTACTAGTCATACTGTTATATTTCCGTTTTCTTTTTTATATTAGACAAATATTCAACTTCTAAACTACAATAAAGATTATATAAGAAAGCCATTAGAAATAGCTGAAGAATGTCTAGCAAACAGAGAACAAAGACATGGAATTGATGAAGTTAAAGATATTGTTGAAAGAGCATTAAGTAAAGTAAGTGCATTTCCATGTTATTAGGAATTAATTTTTAATTTATTCTTACTTAAATATTAATACTGACAGTCTTAGGATATGCATAGTATCATAAAGTTATTAAAAAAACTTGCTTTTATTACAAAGTGTAGTTTGTCTATACCATCTAGTCATTATGAGTTCATTATTATATACACTACAAATATGAACTAAAAAGTATATACATTATAAAACCGGATATGTCTAACTAAATACTGTGGATAATTCTCAACCAGTGGAAATTTTAAAAAATATTTTATTGTTGAAATGTTTTAAGATCTAATTCTTTGAACAACATTGAAAAACAGAAACTTGATATGCTTCCATTTATAGAGCTGTCTAAAACAGAATACATATTAGAAATTACATGTCAATTTATAGAGCAGATATAATTAAATTTAAATTTTGATATATAATAGAAAAACAAGCTTCTGGTCGGTTGTCTAATCCTCAAGAGGAGTGACAGGCCTTATTAACTAGGTAAGTTAGTACATGGGTAGCTGTTTATTTTACTGAAAGGAAATTATAATCACACAGTTTCATTCATGTTGTACTGATTGTTTGAATCTTCCCATTGACCTTTAGGACAACAATTCATCAGTCTCTTATTGGCAGATATGCATCCTGTAAGGATTATAACGATATTACCTGAAGTCACAAACATTGTAGACAGAGACGGATGATAAGTCTCAAATGGGACGAAACGCGCATCCTGGATCCCCTTGCTGGCCACTATCCATCTCTGTTTACATGGCAAAGGATTCTTCCGAGAACCAAACTGTTGAATAATTACTTAATCATATTCTACGCTATAAATTCATATTTGCACTGAGAATGAAATAAACAATCTATATGTTTGACAGGATTCAGTTAATCATTGAACTATTCCCTTGTTTCACTCTAATAGTTAACATAACTTTAAAACAATTATATAAACCAATTATATACATAATAAACATCAATAGGCGCTTGGTGGTAAATATAATAATGGACAACCTCAAAAATTATTGATAAACATATTTAATAGATCCTAGTTATCTTTTGTAAAAATTATTATTTATTATCTGCCTCATTTTTATTGTTTTTCTTATCGACATACCTCTCTTAATCAATCTGTGTAACCACTGATGGTACCGATCAAGTAGTTACACATAATTTACAAATTTATTCTCGCTTCAAACCAGTGAACCTTACAGTTTATGCTTCGTTAATAACTAAACAAATCCATAAATATTTGTATACTCACGAACTTACACATTTGCATATAAATAAAATTGTATATATGAATGAACAAGTATAATGTGCATAAATATTCTCATTCAGGAAACATTATTCACTCGTATAATATATTTGTAAATGTTAAATCACTATTACCACCACCTTCAAACAAACACAAAAACAATTATATCAAAGGCTAAAACCTTTCATTTCAATATATATCCATGGTAGCGCCATATATATATATATATATATATATATATATATATATATATATATATATATATATATATGTAAGCGAATAAATAACTTCAGAAAGAGATAGATTTTTCGAAAAAAGTATACATGAGGAAAAACTAATAATGGCAAAGATAATAAACTAAAAGAAACACTGGGATCAACCACATCTCTATTCGTTAGTCCAGGAAAAGAAGTCATTATTTATGCAAGAAATAAAATTAATCAGGGTGAGGTGAAAAAGGAATATAACAACAACAACAACAAAAACAGAACAGATAGAGAAACATTCTAGTTAGTTCATATATGGATAAATTAAATGCATGAAATTTTATGCATCACACTATAGTGTATATGTATGTATCTATGTGTGTACAATAATTAGAACTGAGAAACAATATTGATATATTAATAACAATAATAAACATAATAATTAATGTTACAGAGGAGATTTTGTGAATAATTAATTTGAAATAAATCATAGAGCAAAGAAAATTAGATATATTTTTGTAAACATTGAATTCAGTTTGCATATTACATTCTTTATACTCATCTTTCTATGAATGTACATATATGTATACATAGAAACATGAAGGTGGATAAGTATACAATTTTCATCTGTTACGTAATATATATAGTAGTACTGTTATTATAGCCAAAAATGCTTTAGTCTACAACCTCAATTAAATCCAATTAATATAACTGGGAGTGAATCGATTCGATGCTTAAATTGTGTTTGTGGATATGAGAGGGGAAGAAAGTGAATTATACGCAACTATATGAAATTATATAAAACAAACATTAAACAAAATATAATTTTAATAAATGGTATTCAGCAAGAATTTAAAAAGTTATTTTGATTTTCATAAATACATTTGAGGTTTTTCGGTATATTTTTGTGAAGGGATTATAGTTTAGAAACTTATTAATTTTTATGGATAATTTTTTTGTGCAAAATATCAGAGAATATTCATATATATTGATCTACAGTGACAAATCTTCTCGAAGAACTAAGCATCAACAAGATTGTTAATTAAAATGAATATGCCTTTAAATACCCTGGTACGGTCAAGGGTGGCCACGCGTATACAACCACTGCCAGAGAAGTCCTTGTCACTGTCTTCTCACGGTGGATGTGTTGTTTACGAAATTGAAGAGATGAAAGCCATGGGATAGCATCTAATAAAATTGCTCCACTGCCTTGCGGATTAGACTAATGGTCCCCTAAGAAAACCACCTGCTTCGGTTTGTGAACCGGGGAAGTGTCCCACTCCTCCTTCAAGTTTTCAAAGTTGATCTAGCTTAGATCGACTCGTGAATTCAACTGTCAAAATACTACAATCTCCACAAACTTCCGTAATGATAATAATCATGTGCTCACTGGTGAGAAGCTTCATGATGGATTTCTCGGAGTTTTGGTGAGAAGCTGTGACTAGTGGAGTCTAATCCGTGTCGTGTGTGGGACAGTTATCTAACACAGACAATGGATGAAAGGTTTTGCAAGATCACAGATCAATTGAAGTTAGACAGTAACACCTTTGGCTATCAGTTCATTGTATACCCACACGAATACGATAAAGAAAGCGCATAAATAATTGCTAAACTACTTTAAGAAGTTTTCTTTTTTGTTACTAATCTATTTCAGGAACTTCCCATACTCCATGAAGCTTATCAGTTTATTTCTCTCGTCCTACAGCATAAATCAAAACATGTCATCAGTTCGTAAATTCATTGAACATTGATCTAGGCCATTTTGGTAGATGTAGACTACCTACTTGGACTCCACGTGATCCACTCAATCAGTGGTTAAGGACATTGAGTGACGACTCGAAATCGTCCACTATAATTAACGTGCATTCACTCTTTATATTATTCGTGATCTTCAATTCCAGTATTTCTACATACATATTTTTCAACCCAGCCTTTCTGATTCATATTCCTAATGCTCAGTCTTCTTTGTTATTACTAATATTTCACCATTTCGATCTCTTTTGGAATTTCTAACTCAAAAGGAATATCTCATTAATCATTTCATAACTCGAAACACAATCAGAACTTCACATGGAATATTCATCAATACTGAAAAACTAATGTCTACTATATTGAGTAGATTGTTAACATTTACAAAATGAAATAAAATTTTATAAGAATGTGATATAATGTTATCCTTGTTGAATGATATATCTTATCCGATAAATATGTAGACCTTTAAGACAGTACGTTAAACAATTATTCAATTAAAAACTAAAATTTAGAGGCATAAAAAAACCAATTTATGTTTGGTAGATATTAACCTTTATCAAGTATAATAACGATTTGAATATTGAAAATGTTTTTGAATTCTGATGTTTGTAGATTTTTCTTAGAGAGGTTGATAGTTATAGCACAAACTTATCGAACAGTAGTCGCAAAATTAAAACATCCATCTAAGATATATGCCCCCAAAACAACCAAAAACATTTTAATATATGGATCTGAAATTTAACTTCATCCTTTTGTCTCCACTGACAAATAAGATTTCTTAGCTAAATAGGCATTCTTAATATTCAGGTGAATTTAAGTACCAGTATGAATAAATTCCTCTCCTTCAACCCTTAATTGAAAAATAACGAGTTAATAAAAAGAATTCAAACGGAGATCTTTATAGCATTTAATTTTTCGACAGATACTAGTTTTAATCTAGTTTAACTAGCAGTCCAATAGAAGGTTAGTTGTGATAAGAATAGCTCACTAGCGTTGTTGGTGACTGTGACACTAGGTGATATGAACTTAAATAATCTAGATAACACTAGTTCTTCACTAGTTGAGAACCTCCCTCCTTACTGACAAGTCCCAACTAAAATAAAGCCTTTATTTATAGATTCCAATCGATATGCTGACAATCAAGACAAATACCATACTTCTATTTGTAGTGTCGGTTGCTATATTAAACCCATATACCTTATTCTAGCTTCTGGATAGGTCAATTTATCTCTTGTTCTTGGGTCACGTTTTGACCTTGTTAATTATTCACTTATCAACCTTGACTGTTTTTATATGAGAGCATATGTGTGTACAATTCTTATTTTATTCATTACATATCTGTAACTTATTTTAATCTGGCTATAACTATTGATTAACACTTGATCAAACGGAGTTGGTTCAAACGCCTTCTTTACTGAGCATCATTTTGTTTCTCTCTCTTTTATTATGTTCGTCCCTTTGATTATCTGTCCAGATTAATGATTGTACAAAATTTACGTATTCAAAATCCTTCCTCGTATTTGAATTATTTTAATTCCGTTATTCACTAACACATGTTAAGTCGATAATTATATACGAGGGATAGCAAGGCGATATATAAATATATACTTTACTTACTTACTTACGCCTGTTACCCCTCGTGAAGGAACATAGGCCGCTTATCAGCGATCGCCATCTAACCCTGTCCTGGGCAATCCTTTCCACCTCTTTCCAGTTGTTATTCATCCTTTCCATATCTGATTTTATTTCCCGACTTAATGTGTTCTTTGGCCTTCCTCTTTTCCGCCTTCTTTCAGGATTCCAGGTTAGGGCTTGTCTCATGATGTAGTTTGACGATTTGCGTAATGTATGTCCTATCCATTTCCATCGCCTTTTCCTAATTTCCTCTTAAGATGGGAGCTGGTTTTTTCTCTCCCACAAAAGGCTATTGCTGATGGTATCCTACCAATGGATGTTGAGTATCTTGCGTAGACAGCTATTTATAAGTACTTGTACCTTCTTGATGATGGTTGTTGTAGTTCTCCAAGTTTCAGCTCCGTACAGTAGAATTGCCTTGACATTCTTATTGAAGATTCTCACTTTGATATTAGTTGAAAGTTGTTTTGAGTTCCATATGTTCTTCAACTGTAGGAATGCTGTCCTTGCTTTGCCAATCCTCACCTTTACGTCTGCATCTGAACCTCCTTGTTCATTGATTATGCTTCCCAGGTATGTGAAAGATTCTACATCTTCCAGAGCTTTGCCATCAAGAGTGGTTGGATTGCTGTTCTCCGCTTTGAATTTGAGGACCTTATATTATTATTATTATTATTAGCTTTATTCAATATTATATTTTTGGTACAATATAGAATTCTCAGCGTAAAGTATTTCAACAAGTTTCCGTTTCTTTCTTCTTCGTCGGTCCTGGCGATAAATATTGAGTGATCGCCAGTTAGATGTTAGCAGTTCACTAAATGAACATCTGAATAATGTGCATTCTTTCCGTTGTATATTGCCAGCAATCACATTGTCCGTTATTGAGTTGTTTGTAACTTTGACAACGAAAGGTTGTACACTTTACAGAAACGCAGCAGAATACGTTGTGCGATTAATAAACATAATGATATATTAAAACAAACAAAAATAGATAACTTGTTGGCAGGAACAGGTAGCCCAGATGATCATATATATATATATATATATATATATATATATATATATATATATATATATATATATATATATATATATATATATATATATATACATTTCGATAGCAACCATTCAATAGCAACCAACATATGATCTAACTGGAGTCAGATCCCAGGCCACAAAAACAATAAATAAACATCTTAAAGATTAAATATTAGAAAATTTGAAACTAAAAATATATTTCGCTTGGTATTGTTTGACTTGTATCTTCCCAATGAAGTTTAAGACTGTAATTGATCAGTCTATATATATTTTTTTAAAACTGAGGTAATGAAATAACTCAAATAAACAATCTCTCTTTCTCTCTCTAAACCAAAAATATTAAAGAAAAATTAATCTTAATTGACCTTTGATGAAATTTCTTTCATTTTATTTAGACAATTGAATGAATTCATAAATGTAGAAAAACAAACAATAAAATGTCACAATAAAATTAGACCATCATGTTTAGATTATTTTCTTCGTTTTCTCCGTTTTTTTAAAAAATAAAGACGTAAAAATTTGTTGTTTTTTTATTTTAAACGTTCAATTTATCGAATGTAATAAAACGAATTTTTTGTTTGTTTGTTTCTTTGTTTGTTTTAATTTTAGGAAGTTCAAACTGTCAACAAAGGAATTGACTTCATTACTAAACTTATTGATAAAGCAGAAATTCAATTAAAGTGAGTTATATTTCAAATATGACTCAAATAGACTAAATAGTTTATGTTGTTTTATTTTTTTAATTATTAAATAGATTCATAGACTGAATAGTTATCTATATCAGTTGAAAACGATTAAATTTAATGAGATATTGATTTCTTTAAGCACAATCTATAAGTAAGTTCGGATAGTCTCAACATGTAAATAGATAATAAAAAAACTTCGATGGGAATATGATTTATGGACGACCTTTCAGCGACGCTGAAGTGATTTTGAGTAGACACCTACTGATTAAGATTAAATGAAAGTTATAAAGCAGTTAGAATTCTCATTTACAGTTGATGATTAGGATTAAAAAATTAGATTTAAAGCTTTCATCACGAACTGACATCAGCTATAATACCAAAACTCTATTTAACCAAATGTATGGATGGATTTCGCGGCAAAATTCATGACTCGTTATCTTATGTCTGATTGGTTCATACATAAATTAAAGTCTCACCAAAACGTTTCACTGAATATATCATTATTAATAATAGTTCGAGCTATTCTGCAATTTAGATTACCGAACATGCTCATTTAGCTGATAAGTTCTATATTGAACAAAATAGGTATTCCGGATTTCACTATTAGCTGCAATATGTCTAGCTTAAATTTTTTGTTGAATCACAACAAACATCTAACACCATAAACAAGGAGTTATTTCAAATCAAAATCACTAAAATCAGATTATATTAAAACAAAAATTATAATGAATAACACAATGTTACATACAGTTAAGGATACTATTTTATATGTGAACTAGTGAAAAGTTTCTGAAATTTACGATAATAGCTTACGGTGAAATCCAGGTCAAATGTCCCATTGATAAGTTACATATTTTACCAAAAGAAATTATTTATAAAAAGATTTGTACATCTTAGTTTGATACTCAAAACTGATATTACATATATCCATATAGTATTGTACTACGGTAACCTTATCCAAATATGTTTATTAGGAACTTAAAAAAAGTTATACTCGCAGTTATTGAACATTTTAATGTAAACTAATGACATGACAGTCTCAATTCAAAAACAAATTCAGATCTAAAATCATACGGATATATGATGATACTCAAAATTGCGAATTCCTTTTAAACACTTTTAGCTAGTCATAAGATTTTTATCAATTCTTTTAGATTAAATAATTTCGTTCACGTTATTTAACCTAACGAAGGAAGTTAATTATGTGGATAGAAATATATATCCAGTATGAAATAAACTATCATAACATAAAGTAATTTTCATTATTCATTAAAATTAGATGAATAACCACTGAAAACCAACAAGTGGTAAATAGTTATTCGATCTTAACACTTGAGACTCGTTAGCATTACATACCCGAAACTATATACGACATTCAATCCAAAAACTTCAAATCTTACAACGAACATAATAACTGGTATTTTTAGTGCCAAATATCTCAAATAATATTTTTAGAGTATCAATGCAACTTGTTTTACATAAATACAGTTTACAATTTGTTTAATTACAAAAAATAATTAAGAATATATATATACGAGTCACTTAATGGTAAATAAATAACCCTTCGTGGTTTTCTTATCAATATTATACATATAGAACTATCAAACGATTTATTGGTTTATTAAAATCACCTCTTAAAAACAAAATATCCATCATAAAGATTTATCGATTCTCAAAAATTTATATCAAAAAATTATTCTCATTCTTATGTTTACCTCTTCCTCTCTCTATCTCTCTCTCATTCTGAATCATAAACTAATTCAATTTTGCCGTTGGCAAATAAAAGCAGGTAACACTTCATTTATCCCCTTAAATTATTGTTTATATAAATATACATAGTTATATGTTCTTAACTTCCCGAGAGAGACGTAAAATTGCATGAATTTCACGTTACTTCATCAAGACTCTTAAGGAAATCGTAATTTGTGTAATAAGGTTAACTGTATCAACAGTTTTCATATAAAATTTTATTAAACCATTCAGTTATTTAACTAATCATAACATTGAGTTTTCTACTTGATTTTACAGCACTAAAAGATATCTCTTTTAAAAAAGAATAACCATTTGTTTGAATGGTATATGTGATAAATAATTTTTTGTGTATCAGGAGGGGTTTTTGTGGATATAATGGTAATTTCAATAGTTGAGATCATGAATCCATTGGAGCCAGACAAAACGGCCGTCCAGTTCTTCCAGGTGATCAAGCTTCAATTCACTCATGATCTCAACTACTGAAGTTACTTTTTTGTGAATAGTTACTCATTTTTTGAAAGTTTCTATTTTTGAGCGCATTCTGGATACAAAATCGAAAATGATATTTTATCAAAATGATAAATGATACAATATTATGTAAGTGGTTGTCAATCTGTATAGAATATACCAGATAGTAACGACAATATTGAGTCTCTAACAGGATTTTATAAATAAATATATGAAAATTAAATACTGAAAAGTGTTATAACAATGGTAAATGTTGCATTTTATCATAAGTCCTGATATTAAAAACATTGAACTATTTAATCCGATCATCATAACGTAATTCTATTGTAGTGAACAGAACACCAGTGGGGACAATCGAATGTATTTGACACGAAATTACAAAGCATCTCAATAAAATCTGAGAACCATATAGTAAATCGTTGATTTGTAAAATATCAATCCATCATCTCAAACTTAAGCGTTCCTGTCACAAACATCAATCCATTGTCTCAGATTTCATTTTTAATACGTTTTCATACCAACTGTGTTCCGTTCCCGTTCTTTCCTTCACGACCTTCTACTGAAATACATTATATGCCTGACCACCGCCATAAACTACTTATGTGGATATAAGTAACCCACACCACACTATTCCATGGAATTCCAAAAATACTAGTTATAAAAACATTACCTTAGTCATCACATTGAGATTGATTTATGTGACTTAATCAGCGGTATATAAAATAACAGCATAAATAGCTCACTGTTAACATTTATAATTGAGTCACAAATTACACAGGCATGAAATTTTTAAGGATAAGTTATACAAGACTCTCACACATCATCATTTTAATTGGGAAATTTCTTTCAAACATAAATTATTGCCAAATTAAAGGTATTTCGATGGAGGAATATTTACTCACAAAAATTTGACTAATTTATAACTCTCGTATTTTTTTTCTTGTCCTCCTAGACTTTTACGCTCAACTCAGAATGAACTACAAAAGGATGCTATTGATAAAGATCACGCTCAAACAATCGATGATCGATTGTATGGTCTCTGCAACTCATCGACAAATATTGCTCTCTACAACGGGATTGAATATTTCGACAATACGTAAGCTTATTTAATGGGCTTTAATGTATCAGATTAGCCGCTAAGCTAATGTTTTCTTGTATAAGTATTGATATCATCCCTTTTATGACTGGCTTTGATATTACATACACAGGCTTGGAAATGGATGTAAGTAGTTCTTTAAACAAAGCAACAATAGGATATATTTAAAAAATACCTGCTTGGAAGAGCCAGACTTCATAATTATAAACAAGAACCGTCTTTACTGATGCCTTGAACATTCATGCTTTTTTATCTGTAATAACGCCATGTAAACCCTAAAGGTTGCTCAGATTTGTATTATTCTCCATGACTTTCGGATTACATAGGCAAAGATCATCAACTATATATATATATATATATATATATATATATATAGGCTACCTGTTCCTGACATCTAGATATTTCAACAAGTTATTTGTTTTCTTGTTTGTTTTAACACATCATTATGTCTATTAATCACACAACCTATTCAGATGTGTTTATGAAAAGTTTGCAACCTTTCACTGTACAACTTACAAGAAAGTTCTCTTAGAAACATCATAGTTGTTGTACAGTATTCAGATGTCAATTCCTGAACTGCTAATTTCTAACTACCGATTACTCAATATTTATCGTCAGGATCGATCAAGAAATAAGAAATGGAAACTTGTTCATATACATTTTGCTGAGAATTCTATCTTGTACCAGAAACATAACATTAAATAAAGACTAAAATAATAAGTTATATATATATATATACATATGCTTCGAAAATTTTCGAAATGTGCGTGATAACTCACGATTATGAGATAGTTTCATAAACAAGTATCATGTATTTACTAATGTATTCCAAATGTAATCAATTGAAGAGTCACATATTTCACATAGAAATTATACTATTAATTTATAGATAAAACAGAAAAACTGAAGAAAATCCACACTCTAAATGCATTAGAATAAATGATTAATGGTTAATTAAATTATATATGTATATATATAATTTTGTTTCCAAAACACGTATATATTCAAATATCCATCAAATAAATTCAATAAACAATAAAACACTTAAAATCCCTTTGAATAATTAAAAAAACATTATGTGAATATACTTCAATCAATGAATTCCTTTCATTATGAATTTAATCATTGTGAATGGATAGTATTTTTAATGAAATTTTTAAACTGACAATTAATAAATACAGTTGTATGAACGAAAAATATTCTTTTCAATGAATTTCTCATCAGGTTCTACAATTATGAATCCAACTAAATAATACATGAAATTGGCCAGATTTAAGGCAAAATACAACATTTGGAAGTTGTAATATGTGAATTGAGAATAGTTGTTTGTCATGTGAAATCAAATCAGATCGTTAATGTTGGGGTTGACTAATATGAAGTGTTAACTTGAATCAGTTTATAAGCGAAATGAAATTGTGCGATAAATAATCAGAATAAATATGATCAAGTTGAGGTGAGAGAGAAAATAATGTTGACCCATGTTGACCATATTTATTCTGATCATTTATTGCACAATTTCATTTCACTTATACACTGATTCAAGTTAACACTTCATATTAAACAGCCCCAACATTAACGATTTGATTTGATTTTATATAACAAACGACAATTCTCAATTCATATACTACAATTTCCAAATGATGTACACTGCCTTAAATCTGGCCAACTTTATGGATTACTAATTTGGATATGAGATAATTGTAGAACCTGATGAGAAATTACTGAAAAGAATATTCTTCGTTCATACAATTGTGTTTTAATATAATGGGAATTTACCAGCAATTAATAAGTAGAATGAATATTAATTATTATTTCATCATCTAATGTATAGTGGTTATAATTTAAAATAAATGTCGACAATATTATACGTTTTTTTATTGAAATAAATAAATAAACCGATCAGTCACACATTAACAAGTAGAGCCTAGTATAGATGTGGATCGGCTCAGTCTTACACACTTCTGATTAGTTCAGCTCATAAAGATTATCTTTTTTCTAACTCATTTCTATACTCACTAAATTAATACGTCATAATAGGCAGTGGTTAGTTGCACTTAATAAATACTTCGGTCGATTCACTCAAAGGGGAGTCACAACTTAATCACCATGGTTACAGAGTAAAAATTATGCGCTACCACAAATATAAACATAGCCAATAATTTTAAAAATATAAGGAGAAAATTTTTACCGAAGAAGTTTCTTGATTTTTCGTGATACTATACATGACGAATAAATAGAATTGATCACGCATGCAATAAGACAAATAAAGTAAATAGTCGTGTAAATCCTATCAAATTGTTCAAGACTTTAACTATTCTGTAGAACTGTTATTCCTTCGAATACTTTACACTTCATAAATTTTTTTTAATTTACATAGCTGACTGAATATCAAAGAAACCTTAGAAAATGAATAGTTCTCTTCTATAAAAGTTTATGTAAATCTGCCAGTTAATCTGTAGAAATATTCTATAACAAAATCACTTAATGTGGTGTGCTAACCTAAAATTGTCTTGACTTCATTATATGTAAGGAACTAGGTGTGAAAAAACAATCTTTTTTTAAAAGATCTTAACCATGATTGTCAAAAAATCGTCCATTTCTTTCTTACTCCGAAAAAAAATTGTGTTTATCCGACAAACTGATAGTATATAGATTTTACCGGCTATATTTTTCCTGCCCCAACTTTTATAGTAAGTAATAGTCCTTCAAAATTCGTTGCTTCTTAAATTTTATATTCGAACTCTTTTCTTCTATTGGTTATTATTTACTATTCATAATTAGGAACCTTCTAGCACGTATTTACAAATTACAACAGACATCACCTGAAGCACGAGTTAAAATGTTTGTTTTGAGAATAAAGTTATAGTACTTATTTGTATATTAAGTAGGATAAAATTGGATGCCAAATTACTGAAATGAAAATCTATCAATCTAAATTAAAGAAATGATTATTTAATGGATTATAATCAATTTACTCTACGTAATCACATCAGACTCTGTGACTATTAACGAAAATTTGTGTCGGAAACTTCATAGAGCCAATAACTCTGTATCGACATTTGAATTCTCTATCAAATAAATTAAATGGTGTATGATTCGTCAGTATTCAATTCATATTCGTATCTAGAAAATTTGACGATCTCATCTAACTCTTATTTTTCAGTCGGAGTATCCCAACTTCATGGATGAGGTACACCCAAGAAAATTTAATTCGGTCACAAAATCAACGTAGTGCATCTGAAAATCTACGTGAAAAAATTGATTCTGCCTTAAGATCTATAATTGGTAGTGTACATGGTCAATTTGTTACGGTGAATAATGCACTACAAACAAGAATAAATGAAGTTACCAATGCAAGAGATAATCTTCGCTTATCCTTGAGAAAAGTAAACATTACTATTTTCTGTTCTTATTGTTTTTAATCGCAAATTACTCATTAGGTTACACAGGAATTATATGAAGTGGAAAACTTAATAGGAGCACTTAAAAAGACGACGGATGACAAAATCCAACCATTGAAGGTTGCACAAACCAGATTAAAAGAAAGAACTCGAAGGATCAATGTGGAGAGTTGTTATGATCAACCAATGAAAACGTAAGTTCATGTTGACTGGAGCGAGAGATTAACCACACAACTGAGTTGATAAAAGCATAATTTACTCTAGCGAATCTTCAACGTACTAATTTACTTTCTCCAACACTAAAATGTATCAATACACTAATATGATTAGTACTTAAACATCAAAATAAAGATAAGTATTTATGTCTAAAAAAACGCAGTAAGTGGAAATTAAGATCACGCCGACAGGACCTCATAGTAGATTCTAGGACAGTAATATGGTTGTGTCATATGCGATCCACCTCTTTCGTAACTGTTAACTGCTTCTAGTAGGCTGGGGGTAGCGATGTAAGAAAATCAGCCAGTGGGCACGCGGCAAATTTAGCTGAGAACTGAACACCAATTTTCATCTGCAGGTTGCCTTTCTAACCCTTCATTCTATCTTACTACGCAGTTCCTACTTCTTTCAATGATCTAGTGTGACTAATTATGTTTTGATGGTCGCATTTACGATCTCGGTGAACATACTTCGACGAATTCAATAATAATCTTGATCAAGGACTATGCTATTTTGTTTTCTAAATGATAAAGATACCTTAGTACCACACCACTGGATAGACAGGTAAACAAACTTAATTCTAGTATATTCATACTTCATTTCACAACTTTCATTCGCTAGTGTATACATTTTTTAAAGAATCCGTGGAATAGGGCCTAATACTACTTCATGTTACATAGAACGAATCCCAGCAAATATCACTACAATACATTATACTGTATCTAGTCTCGAAGCATCCTTTCCTATGATGTGTGATATACTTTTGTCTTTGTATTATAACGGACATAGAAAAATATGAAATCCAGTGCAGAAGGGCTGACTTTGTATGTGTTACTAGGGTAGTGTGAATAGAATGTACTCTGGTTGTTTGAATAAATTATCCAAGTTGAGTGATCATCAATACTTTTCCTACTGAGAACAGTAGGGTTTATAAATATGTGTAATGCTTCAGGTACTCGCCTTTCTTTATAGTGGGGAAATGCTTTTTGAACTGTTCTAATATTTTAAGGTCGGTTGGTCGCTACTGAAAACAGCATGTACTGTTACTGCTAACTTCATTTGAAAATTCACAAGGTGTTTCTGTGGAACTTAGCTGTTCTTCGACTCAAATCAAGATTTCATGAGAAAACTCTTCAGAACAGAAGGCATCACAGTCAACACAACGTTGTCCACAAACAAAATTCTGTGTTGAAATGTAAATGATATTTTCTTTTGATTGAACTAAAGTATTCCGAAAAGTGTTGGTTGTTGCATATTATGCTTTGATTTCATGGAGTTTTAAGATTCATCTTTGTTCTATCACACTACGGTACCACTAAGTACCATTAACTACTATCAATAATCTTCTCCTCACTCATTTCTAATTCTCTTGACCGTTGCTTACAATCAACACTTTTTTCAAATCAAAACAGCTATGAATGTCTAGAACTAACCGTTATGTATTCTGATGTCGAATGATTATAGAATATTTTCCGGAAAGTATACTATGGGTAGGAGGCAACCACTTCTTATTGAAAAATTTTTCTCACCTAAAAATGTAGTAAATGGATTATCTCTCTTGCACAGTGTAACAATATGTTAGAGATGTAGTTATTTTTACTATAACAAATTCATATTTAGTGAAATAAGCACATATACACACAATATGAGTATAGCTCCTTTATACTTGATATTTTCTTTTACAGACTTCAAACTGAAGTTTTGGAACTTAGAAAAACAATCGAAGAACTTAAAAACAATCGCAGGAATGCAAACATCACATTAGCGAGATTGCAAAAGAGTCGGACATCCCTTGAACAAGAAATAGAAACCAAAGAAAATTCACTATCTATTGATCAAAGGTGTTTAAGTATGCGGAAAAGTTTCCCTATCAAAGATAAATACGGATCATTATACGCCATTCCAGTTAGCTATTAGAACAGACAATTTCAGTAAATTATTATGAAACGACAATATCAACAAATAGCCTTTCCCATGGTTATCTGTTTAACAACTTGATTTTTACCAATCACTTTTCACGTAAGCTCAATACATACGAATCATTATTTATCAAATGTTAGTTACCAGACGTATGGATATATAGAACAAGATAAAAAGATGTTTTGTCGATTCTAGTAATTACTTTCGAAACCTGCACATTCGCGAAAAACCGAAGACTGAGTGAGTAGAATCGACAACAGAAAGAATGGAATGAACTGAAGATAAAAAGCTACCCTCCGAATAAAGAATGTTTTCTCCTAAAACTTCTCTTATGCTTATTAGCAGACTTTGATAACAAGATACCGGAGAGTCACGAACACCAAACAATTCAACTAAACATATAACGGTCATTTAGTACTATATTCTGACTCCGAATGTAACGAAATCCATATAGCTGGAAACTTTCTGGAGCTGAATATAAGTTATATAAAAGACAAAAAGTGTCGTCTAAATTACTAAAGCAATTTAGGTAAACAAGCTACTTCGATAAGCACACCAGCACCAACTGACAATTTAACTAGTCACTAAATTCACGAAAATGCTAGAGGAAATACTTTTGTTTAAGCCTCGAATTCAATGCAAGCGTATATAATAAATTCTCGTGCTATCACACCGTTCTCTAATTGGTTATAGCAGGATTTCAGGAGGCAAGGATGTTTCAGAAAAAACATTGTATGGACTACTAAGACAACGGAACTCACGCCAAACCAAGAAACAAGCGACTATTTAAAGAAATGCAAACTAAAGAGTTTATTTCCCATCAAAACGCATGTGATTGACGATGCTGAAAATGGTTAGATGAGGAGGGACCACCAGTCAAGATAGTTATTGTAGCAGTTTGTTTCGACTAGTAATCAACAGCACATAGTTGTACCTTACTATAAACTGAGACTCGCGATCCCTCTCTTGGTTGAGGTTTAAGGAACTAATACAAAACATGAAGGTAATCACAAAAAAGGAACTAAAAACAATGTAATTTGAACTATGCTCTGATATCCAGATCTTTGTATTATTATTCGCATTGTCTGGCATGTCACATACCAAGTTGATATATAAACATCCCAATAGGTATAGCGAGTCAAATTTGGAATATCCCCAGCATGCAACGAATAAAACTGGTTGTTTTAGATAACCTAAACCTTAAAACACGACATTTTGACACGCAGCGCAGTCACTTGACTGTTCAAATCTTTATAATAAATGTCAACATGTTACCCCTACCACCTACACCAAAAATGACACTACTTATACTACGACTGCATTAGTGGACGGGAATAGTTTAGTCCCAAAACTGGTACCTACGAACTTTACTTCCAAACTTGAGTTACCACTTGCTAAACGAGGATATTACGCTACTGACCATAGTAATTTATTTATCACTACCAAGAGACCCCACTATCATTTTGCCTCATATTTAACTAATCAACAGTTGTCACAATTCCAGTAAGCATGAATTATTGCAAGGTTATATCAAGTGGAAAGTCCCAAAAGATAGATATCCAAATATGCCTAATCCAACGTGCTTATCGATAATCACTACGTTATTAGGTCAATAAACTAACAATTGGCAAACGGACTTTTTTGAGCGACTACTAAGACTGACGACAGTAAACATTAGAACTAGCTTTAACTAATACACAAGTATTTACTTCGTACTCATTAAAACTACGCGGGCATAGTCCAATAAATGAAAGCAGTAGAACATCGTTTCCGTAACAAATTTTTATTCACTTATTTCTTTCGAGATACACCAACTGTTCGTCCACGTCGTCCAGTTGTTCTTGTGTGTTGACCGCGGACTCGCAATCTAAAATTACAATAATAACATATGAATAATGAAAAGGAGTAGGTTATATTTATGCATATAAGTACATTGAGTAAAGGCAAAGAAGGGATCAAGTCAGGACGCCCTAAATGCAATGCGAAACCTGTTCTGACTATTGTGACTACCACCTAGACGCTGTGGACTTGCCTACTGTAGTGACTCAAGCCAACTACACTAATTAGAGAACTTATCTGACATCCTGAAAAGTCCAACAGAAACAGTGGACCGAGCATTGACATTCAGAGTTACAGGTTTTAGGCGCGAGTCAAGTCACTCGGATTGTCGTATATGTGGCAGGAAATCTGTTGTGAACAGTTAACACTCTTTACACAGTGGGTTGAAGAATGGTTTTGTACATATAACGACTACAAGAACAATAAGTTAATAAGATCTAAGCAATCAGAAAAAAAGGAAACTTACGACTCAGATAATAACATACTTACAATAATTTCATAACATCTATCCTATATTCTAATTGTAAGCTTAGTGTTTAAAGCATTGGGTACAGATGATCGATGACATGTCAAGACATCTTAATTAGCGTCTAGTATATGTTAAAAACAACCACTAAACTTCACACGACTAGACTAGCTTTAAACTGAATGTTCAGATAAGACAATCATTATCTAACAGAAGAGGTGGCCAGAAACGCCTTGTAAACTAAGACCAAGACATGTTTAGAGACTTCGAGATGGAATAACAAACATAAGGTGACTCGTCGGTAGACATTGTGAACCAATAAGAAATAAACATAAATAATTTCCCCTAACAATATGTAAATTTCCTATTTCCGAACATCCGAGAAAATGCTCGTCACAAGCAAACCATGTCTAGTTGCACCACATCTATGACAAAACTCGACAGTTCACTGAAGTGAATGATGTCCCGAAGAGACGTTTCAATAGAACAATGATGGCGAAGCTACTTATTAACTTACCCCCAATAGTGACGTATACCCCGATGAGATCTTATCCTTTTTAATCGCTCAAGATCCTCACGTAGCTTAGTTTCCAAAGCACCGGACATCAATTGTGAGTGTTTGCCATCGTCGACATCTTTCTGTCTGTTTAGAAACCAATCAGGGATCTTGTACTGCCTTGGATTACTCATAACTGTTACAAGCTTTTCAACCTCATCTTCAGTTAGTTCACCAGCACGCTTGTTAAGGTCGATATCAGCTTTTTTACATACTACATTGGCATAGCGTCGGCCAACACCTTTAATTGAAGTTATGGCATACATTATTTTAAGTTGGCCATCAATATTCGTATTCATAACACGAAGAATGTGCTGGAACTTTTCTGGTAGCATAAGATCCTAAACAAAATGAATTGAAAAAACAAATCAACACTAACCATCGTGGTTGGCGACTTTGATCAAATATCCCGGTAACAGTGAGAAGACGAATAACCGCCGCCTTGATCTTATATGAACAGCTTTAAACACACAGTGTTTGATAGATTTTAAGATGCGTAACTCTAGAAACTTTTGTTCTACTTCATGACCTTCCATTACTCAACTTTGGATAGCCTCAAAATAATCTTATACTTTTACAATGACGATATATAAACAATATATCTTCATACTTAAAGTGGGTTGGATATAACCGTTAAAATTGAATGGAAAGTCTAACTAGCAAGTTGGCCGAAACTGTCTTTTAAAGTCACCTATGTAGGGCTTGTCACATCTAACATACTGCTTTTGAACATGGGAAATCAAAACACCTAGACACTTTCCAATTAATCGCACTTCTAAGTGGCAATTTATTAAGTTATATACGTATTTCGCAACATACTCCAGATGAAATACCTGTTTGTTAGCCGCCGAAATTAGAAGTCCAGTTATGCTCTCCTGTAATCTCAGTTTATTATCCTGGTTTCTAGATATTCCCTAAAGCTCACTATCACTTGTGAAGACACTTATTAAGGAATACCATTAGACAACTTAAAACATCATGAATGCTATTGTGGAGTTCAAGAAAGATATGAACTTTGGTTAAGTAGATGGAATAGAAAATCGGTATATGTGCGCAGACAGATTGAATCTTCCTCAGAGGAAATCCAGAAGATGGAAGCTAAGAATGTAGTATTTCGAATGTCATGTTCCTAATCACATCACCACGGCTTCTTCGTCTTGCAGAAATTGTGGATGTGGTTGAACTTCCACTTCAGAATCATAACAATTAACCATAGTTTGTTTTTCAACAGGCAGAAAGAACTCTGAGATGAAAAATGTGATTTACGTGATTATACCTTATCTTGTACTTCTGCCTCGATGTATATCTCGTTGTAAACAATGATGCTTGAGTGGCAAATATTTCATTTTCTTGCTTTTCGAGAGGGGTGTGATGGTAACTAAATTCCTGAAACAAAGTTTCATAATTCATTCACATTGATGTTGACCTCCTTAGTTCTACTGTGACAACCCTGATTAAAGGCGCTTGGTTAAGTGGTCACACCAGACCACATATAGACACGCCGTACTGCATATCTCATACAACAACTAGCCAAATAAGACTACATAAACTTTGACACAACTATTATTACCCAAATATCTCCCTTCATTGTTGACTTTGACTGAACTAACTTTTAGGGTTCTTGTGTAAGAAGAGGTCTTGGATGACAGTGTTACTGGGCGCTTCCTTTTTTACTGACGTTGATACCCCACAAAGAGCTACGCTTTCCCTTCATGATTATCCTTTTTCGCATGGTCAGTACTTCTACTACTCACTACATTAGGATGAAAACGATCCCAGTGAACAGAAAATAATGAATGGTTCCTTACCAACCTTCGAGTATGCACCAAAAACCTTGATGCAGTAGAACGTCTCTCAAACTTTTGATAACGCTGTTGTGCTAACATGTTCCCATCTTCCGATCAATTGGTCATCTAATCTTTTGTCAGGATCATGTAATGTTTTCCGTACAACTTATTGCACAAGTAGGTTGTAGTTTCGATATCACTCCACACATAAAGCCTCGATTAGTCAATCCCTGCAAATCGTTCCCCTTTTTAGAGTGTTTATAGTCTGTTCTTTCCTGAAAGTTTACTAAAATTAGATGCTGTGGTGCGTATAATATTAATGGTTACATTTGTGAACAGTATCCAGTATTATGACT